AGTTATGTTCATGTCTGCACCACCTTCATGTCCAAAGTGGTGACGAAAGAGAAGAGGCTCGCTGGTATGTCGCACTGCAAAAAAGAAGAAAAAATTTAGACAAGTCAAAAACAAGGATCAGACGCGAAGGTCGAACCTCGCGTCAGAAAGCTCAGACGCGAAGGTCGAACCTCGCGTCAGAAAGTTCAGACGCGAAGGTCGACCCTCGCATCAAAAATCTCAAACGCGCAGGTCGACCCCCGCGTCAAGAAAGATGAAACGACGGAGTCCAGCCCCGCGTTATTGAAACGAGTTTCCTCGTTAATTTCAAGATCAGAACTTGCCGAAGCAAGTTTAATGACCACGAAGGTCATACTCACCACCGATCAGGGGGAGTTGGGAATCGGACTTGGGGGCGACGGGCTTCTTGGGTGCCATGAGATCTCGTCGGAGGAGATGAGCAGTGTTCGCCGGAGATGAGAACGAAATTTTTTCGTTAAAGTTTCAAGAAGAGTCGAAAGACTCTTGATTTGACCCCTAGCGGTCTATTTATAGACAGCTATGAGCTGTCAAATCCTAACGGACGGGATTCGAGGCCATCAGCCCGCCCAAACTCGACCCTCGCGTTCGAGTTGATTCAGCTTCCAAACGCGATGCTCACCTGCGCGTTCAAATTTCCCAACGCTGGGCTCACCCACGCGTTCCAATTCTCAAATGCAGAAGGCATCTCTGTGTTGAGACCACCATGAACAGCAATTTCTTGGTTACCAAAGCGATCAAAGCCAGGAAGAAACAAACGACTCCACTGGGGAGTCTGTTGGAGGAGTACAGATAGAGTACAGTCAACAACGGCGAAATCATCTGACTCGATCAGGCGGGAAGAGCAATCAATCCACCAAATTCTGGGATCCAAAGTATTCCGAAAATTCGTCCCAGTCAACCGCGAACTTTCGAAAACTTTGGAGGGGGTTCTGTAGGCTGTCTAAAAATCACAATAGATAGCTTATTCAAACAAGCTCCGACAACGGAGGTCACAATCAGACGACTTCCCAATCACTGTATCCGCAACTCCACAATTGCCACAAACGCGACCTCACCTCTGAGATGATTGATCTTGATGGCTGTGACAACAGCATGGCTAATATCGTAGCAACTATTAGAGATGCTGATGAGCAGTGGGACGATTTCAGAAATAAAAAGTTGGACTCAGTTGGTGAGTTGCTTGGTAGAGAGCTATGGGCGAATATTCATCTTTAAGACACTATGGATGTTGATTCCCGTCTAGCTCCTACAACGAAAGCTACAATCAAATAGCTTTCGGGTCGATGATCGAAACATATAGTCGAATAGTTGCTTGGTAGAGAGCTATGGGCGAATATTCATCTTTAAGACACTATGGATGTTGATTCCCGTCTAGCTCCTACAACAAAAGCTACAATCAAATAGCTTTCGGGTCGGTGATCGAAAGCGGCAAATAGAGGACTTTTCACATAGATCGAGAAAGGTTACAATTTAACGACACTTCCGACAACTGATGAAAACTCTATTCAGCAGTCTTCACAATCTGCAGTGAAAGTTACAATCTGACGGCTTTCACACCCCACAACAGCTAAAGCCAGGATTACTGAACAACGGTCCTTGCAACGCTCTACAGAAGAAGTTACAAATCAGCTAACTCCTTCTGAAACGCGGGTGTCATCCCCGCGTCATAACTTTGGAAATGAAGACGACCCTCGCGTCGTCAAGCCACGGCGACCCTCGCGTCGTCAAGCCACAGCGATCCTCGCGTCGTCAAGCCACGGCGACCCTCGCGTCGTCAAGCCACAGCGATCCTCGCGTCGTCAAGCCACGGCGACCCTCGCGTCGTCAAGCCATAGCGACCCTCGCGTCGTCAACCAACAGCGACCCTCGCGTCGACAATGCACAAGCCAAACGTGAGCGACCCTCGCGTTCAATGGTGTTCAACCAACGGCGACCCTCGCGTCGTCAATGCACAAGCCAAACGTGAGCGACCCTCGCGTTCAATGGTGTTCAGCTAACACCCAACTTCGCGTCTTAATTCAAAGAACACGAAGTAGAGGTTCTGAACGCCAGAATGGGCGTTTGACTTATTCAAACATAAGTCGAACGGTTCCAAAACCGTTTATCCCACGTTCTGAGGGATTTTCGCCCACGTAGGAGCGGATATAGGGGTCAGTTACAACCTCTTATCCCCCTATAAAAGCTCAACGAACTCAACTGAGTTAAGGGTTGGATTTTTGGCATCTGAACCATACAGGTTGGATTCAAAAGATCTAAACCATACAGGTTGGAGATTTTCAGTTCTAAAACAAACTCGACAGAGTTAAAGGATCGGATTTTTGATAATCAGATCAAGGGTTGGATTCTTCATCATCAAAACCACTCAGGTTTGGAGATTCGGCAACAACAGCAACGAAATCCTTGGAGATAGGATCTTTGAACCAACCTCAGAAAATCAAATCTGAGAGAATCCTTCAACAACAGAAAAACAGCTTGATTATTAACCGAATTTTCGGTTCCAACAACTCTATTCACAGAGTTCAAACTCGTTCAGAGTTCTTAAACTCATTCAGAGTTATTCATAAAACTTTCCACGAAAGTTCATCGTTCCCACGAGATAAAGACGGTCGGATCGTCAACGGAGAGCAAGTTCGACGCAATCAATCGAAGGAAGCACTCCATCGCTGCCAAGAAGAACCCAGTTTTAAACAAAGGGGAAAACCAAATTCGTTTTCCTCTCTTTTGTAATCAAGTTGTAACCGAGATCAAAGGAATCAAAGTCACATTTTCTTTAGTCTCTTCTTTACAATTTTTCCAACAAACAGCGGATGATGAGTTGGTAGATCCGTGTGCAGCTGGTGGATATAGCTTGGATATGGCCATTGGTTCACCTCAGGTGGAGGTGTTTGAATCGTTTCAGTATGGGGCCGTTGGTGATGCTATCAGTCGTACATTGGATGTTGGTATCAGTGAAGAGTTGAGGACTCTCCTTTTGGATTGAGGGCCTTTGGAGGCCATTGGGTGAACTACGTGAAGGCTTGATTCCTTGGAGAGGATACGTAGACAGTCAGTTTTGATGCAGCCGATTTAGTGAGTAGACACAGTTGTTTTGGGGTGAGTGTTCGCACTCCCGTTTGGGTCTCGACGTGTTGTGGATGGGGTCCGTTGTCATGAGTCCACTACCATAGCGTACTGGATGCAACAAGTGAGACAATTGGTTTGGTTGGTGTCGGCTCAGTTTGGTAGAATCTTCGCAGAGGTGGAGATTTGTAGAAATTGACAGTTGATAGCTCAGAATAGGCAGTTGATAGGTTGGCCGTCGACCGCGTTCGTGCACATGGTTCACTGTGCGTCTGGACCGTTGGCGGTCGACCGCAGAAGTTTCTGCTTTCACCGCGGTCGACCGTCGCGGTCGACCGCAGAAGTTGTTGGAGATTGGGGCTGTTCTGGGATTGAGGGCAGTCGACCGTGGCGATCGACCGCGATGGATCGCGGTCGACCGCCGCAGCGGTTTTGGGCTGGTTCTGTTTTTCAGACCCGTTTCGTTTGGGTTTCCTATAAATACCCAAACTGGTTTCTAGGGTTTGTAAGGCAAGAGGTTTTGAGCAGATTGAGAGGGTTTTCTTTGGGCTTCTATTCTAGGAGCAATTGGTGAGATCAAGAGTTGATTTGTAGAGGGTTTATGAGAGATTTGTAACCCTAGTTTGTTTCTCTTGATTTCTAATAGTGAAAACTCCCCCCTCCTTGCCCCGTGGACGTAGGCATCTCGCCGAACCACGTTAAAACTGGTGTTATTGTGTTTGTGCTATTGTTTGGTGTGTTTGTTTATCTCTTTCGGCTATTTGGTTGGACCTCGGCATAGGGGTTTCTCCCCAACACTGAGTTTATAATTTAATACTCTAGCATATGCCCAAAGCCATGGAATACACGTCCTTTAGCTATCTTCAGCATCTCTTAATTTATATAAAATAATAGGCATAATCAATGGCGGAGTCAGGATTTTGTCCCGGTGGTTTTCTCATATAATTTATCATCGTCTCGTTTGGAATCTATACCGATAATTTTACAATTTTATTTCTTCTAGTGCTATCCTATCTAAATTATTACAGAGGTGTTCTACATAATAATTAATACTAGTAAAAATAAATAAAAAATGTATAAAATAAGCAATCCAGTGGTGTCATGTGACATCATGAACGCTACATGACTCTATCTCAGGGCATGACTCTATCTCAGGGCCCAACAGTTATGGTTTCCTGTCAAATGCACATTGTTTAGCTATCACAAAAGCATCAAATTTTCATAAATTAATAGGCAAAGCAAACCGTATGCTTCTACAAACACTCATGAACATTTTGTTGTGTAGCTTGTTCTTCTCAATGCCATATTCCCAAAATTTTGGAGATGAATGGTCTCCTATGGAAAAGGGTGAAACCGACGAAGAGGCGGCCTCAACCGAATTGGTGGAAAGAAGCTCATCTGCTGCTGAACTCGCATCAAACGGGCCAGTGCCTTCACATCAGCCGAAGCATCCTGAATCTCCAGGAATAGCCGGACTTTTTAATGCATTTCGAATATTAGTCTTTAATCCATATATTCAGGTGCCACTCGATTCGAACTCTCCACGATTTGATACTATATCAATTGGCAAACATTTTCGATTCCAGCTCTATAGTTAGTATTTGCGCTTTCGCAAACTTGTATATCTTAGGACGCTAATCCCCTCAAAAGAAATATGTTATTCATGAAAGTGATGTAAAATGTCTACCCTTGTTCATAGAGGATATAATAGCCGAAAATTAATTATGATTTTTTTTTTATTTTTCTCCATGCAGCGAATGGTTGTTTCTTTATCATCTGATCAAGCTGTATGGGATGCGGTTATGAAGAACAAAATAGTGCAAGACATCCAGGAATCCTTGAGTGCAGGTTTGTTCAAAATGATATGCTCTTAGTTTATTAATCCTTTGGAATTAGAACGAGAGGTAATTGTAATGATCATGGTTACCTTTATCATAAGGCCCACTCTTCTTTGAGCTAGGGATTCTTTTGGCAAATATATGGGCCTCAAACATTTCATATGTCCGAAAACATTCAACAGAATTCATTCTATAGTCTGCAGCTAATTGAGATTCCAATTTAAACTGACAAGGTCGTTAATTAAGGTCACGCTGCCACGAAAGATGAGGCATTTCAGTTACTTAATTGCCTAAAGATATTTGATCAGGTATATAAATTGTTAGTACCCCAACTAGTAACACAACTTATCCACATTCTTCGAGCCGAGGACTTGTTACTTTGATGGCGATACACACGTTTCAGTATTCACGCTGCAAAATCATTGATAGGCTACTTGATTTGGGTGTAAATAACTGTGTTAAGTGTTACTCTAGAGTTTCTTCACTGTCAAAATAATCCATTGATATGTTGTTATATGCAGAATCAACCAGATCGCAGAACAGCGGCCATGACGTTGGCATGATTATCCTGAGATGGATACTGAAGAGCACCAAGTCAACAATTGTTGGATTTTTCGACAAGCTCGTAAAACTTGTTAGCGAGCTCTTCCATCACCAAGAGAGGGAGTCCAGTGACCAAACGAGGGAGGAGAACACGAGCAGTTTTGATCAAGTGGTGAGAACCTCGTTCATGATAACCGTCATGGTGTTTATGGTCATCATTGTAACACGTATGCAATGAACTTCACAGTTCGTTCATCGTAAGATTGCGAAAGCCTGTATAGTTGGTAAAACTGCATCTAGTTCATCAATCTGTACTAGGTTTTTTTTATCGCAGGCTGCTCATCTGTTGAAGGTATCAAATTATAGCGCAATCTGATGGCGAATACTAAAAAATTGTGTTCTCTAATGAGGGGGGAAAAATACATGACAACATACATTGTCCAAATTGAAAATCTTACTTTCGGAGAATACAGGCACCTTTTTAGATGCTTGAAGTGGCAGTTTGAGTAAACTCTACAGTATCCACAATCATCAAAATCATCAAGTATAGATGGTACAATTGCTATTTCTCATAAAATTTAGTTCATTTATTGTTTCTTTCCCTTTGTGGTCTAAGCTTGCACAATTGCTGAGGACATTTATAGCAAACATAAGCTCATCTAAGCATAGTAAACCCCGACACTCTATGCAAAAATACCTTGGATCGGTCCTTTTGTGTAACTGCAAAAACCCTGATGAATTTATTAACTAACCATCTGCAGGACACTTTAAGCTTAAAATATCCTCAACTAACACAACTGTCATCGTCTCCTCATTGAGCTAAGCTTCGAACTAGAATCCCTTCAAACGTAATCCCCGGCCCAAATGCCAGAACAAACCCCCATTCCTCCCCTTTCTTCCCCTTCTCCTTCAACTCCTCTATCATGTTCTCAATCACGTAGAACACTGTGTTGCTGCTCACATTCCCATATTCTCTCAATGCCCTCCTACTTGCCCGCAACTTCTCCTCCCTCAACCCGAGATGACTCTCCAACCGGTTCAGAATCGCGGGTCCGCCCGGGTGAACCGCCCAAAACATCTCGTTGTAGTCCGTTAACCCGGCCCGTTCCATCAGTTTCCTGCAAAACCTGTCGATGTTCGCTTCGATAATCGACGGTAGATCTCTCCCTAGCTTGAAATGCACCCCCTCTTCAGCTAATCCTGGCCGTTGAGACCTCCGGTGGTGTCCAGGTATGAACTCCTGAACCAGCCAATCCATTTCGAAAATTGCGGCGCTCGTGTTGCACCGGGTCTGCTCCGACGACAGCCGGGCGGCAAGCGCGTCCCCGAACAGCAGCGGCGCGACGAGGTCGTAAGGCGGGAGAGGCCGGTGGGCGGAAGCCGGACGACGGTGGTTTCGGACGTGACGACGGAGGAGCGGCTTCCGCGTTGTTCTCCGCGATGTCTTGGCAGACGCGGAGGCCGGTGACGCGCGTAACAGCCGATGGAAGTAGAGCATGACGGCGACTGGACGGCCGGGTCGAGGCGAGCTGGCGGCGAGGTAGTAGTTCCGCCGGGAAGGCGATCCGACGAGGAGACGTAGACGAGGTGGGTGATGGCGGAGGCGGGGCGGTCACTGACACGTTGAAGGCAGGTGCGGCGGCCTCCACGGGCATGCGGAGGACGCAGGGTTGGCGATCTTCGAGGCGTTGTGTGGATCGTCGGAGAGCCTCAGTGGGGGCGAGCTCAGGGTATTTGTCGAGGATATCTTTCGACATTACTGTGTATCTCGTCCTCACCGTCGTGGTTTTGCCTGTGAAATTAAAAGTGGTACGTAGCTCGTCAGTTAGCCTGAAAACTGCATTCATGTACTCTAAAAAGTTTTGAGTCATTAACTTTCTTTTGGTAGAGCTATAGCCTATTGTGCGTGCATCTTGAACTTAGAAAGAAAATAAAAGATTTAATCTAATTCTAACACGATCGATGCGCTAAGTGCAAATTATACATCCAAAGTATCTTATTGCATCTTGGCTCGATTTAATCCTTATCCGTGGCCTAAGGTTCAAACCCAGATGTATGGGGACAAAACAGGGTTCGTGCTTGTTTTTGTCGAAGTTTCAAAGTCACTCTTGGATGCCAAAAATTATATCTGCCATTGGACTACTATACTAGATTTTGCTACTAGCTAGCTATTTCCATATTTTAAAAAATAAAATTAAATTGCAGAAAACCCCCCAGAGGAGACTGGAGAGAGAGGGGAGCTTGATTACATAGCCGCTCGAGTTTCTCCTTCATGACAGGATCGTCGCAGTTGGTATCGCGTAGATAGCCCTCGACAAGGCGCTCTTGGCGAAGGATTTGGTCAGGAAAGGCCTTGCCGAGAGCCAGTATTGTAGCCTTGCCTCTTCGACTAGAGCGCTCGCACAACTGAGACTCTCCATTTTGCCTTGCTTTCGACATCGCGGATGTAGAGATATATGCACTTGATAAGTCTGACAGAATGCAACTTCGTTTATGTGAGCCTCATATAAGGGGTGTAGAATGGGTTTGGTTCTGTCTTGGAGGAAGTTTGGTGCTTCATACAGTTGACGTGACGAATGAAGAAAAGATGCAAAATGGTTTGCCATGACAAGCGAATGAAGTGAACCGTGGCGGAGTTCGCGCGCAATTAGGTTCGACAGCCTTTCTACCTTGTTACCTTTTAGGGATGGAGTTTCCATTAGAGAGAAAAAATCATTAACATTAATACCAAATTTTTCATCTAATTAAACAAGTCGGCCTATTATGCTAATAACGCGAAGGTCGCAGGTTCGAGACCTGCATGGGCCACTCCGTTAAGCCTTTTTGTGCTATTCAACCTCCTTTATTCCTGATGATCTTTGAACAAATTTCTTTTAACATAAGATTTGATTGAGCAGAATATTAAAGTATGTATCATCTTGCAAACTTAGAAACATAAAACAATAAATTTGAAAATTGCGATGATTTGATAATTTCATCTTATACCCCATCCTGCCTGCACTTAAAACTGCATGATGCTGAACATATAGCATTACGGGAGTTTGACATTTTCAGAACATGCAACCACAGTAAACAGCAACACAGAAAACTTGTCCATAAATAAAACAATAGTGTTCATAAAGAAGCCCCCCGAACCACGATTTCGAACAGAACAGTGGTATGATGCTCTGACGTGATCTCACAAGACTATTCCATCCAACAACGGCTTCATTATTCCTATAAATATCTAGTATCTTTTGACATATTGTAAATATTTCCGAGTTCCGCGAGCAATAGAGAGCACCGATAGCACTGACCTTAGAACATCTTGTATCTATAATATTCTATAGTCTAGCAACCCTGAATTGCTGCTTGAGCAGAGGACGGATGTACTCATGGTATCCATCTGGCACAACCGAGTCATTGAGGGGGTCTTTCCATGCTGCCTCATAGAGATTCGGGTACACGTTTCCATCATAGCGACCAAGAATGGAACCCAAGTAGTGATCGGTGTAGTTGAATGCATCAACAAGTGCGATAACATTGGGACGCAGCTGCACAATACCCAGAACAAATAAAACGTGAGGAAATACGGTAAAGGATAGCATTGGAAATCCAAAAGATTCAAAATTTTAGCTCAAATATAAACTCATTTAATTGTAGTATAGCTATTATACTATTTTGGTACTACAGCAAGACTAAAGTATCTTCTAAGAAGATGCGAGATGGGCTCATGATTGAAATGCAGGAGGAATAGTGTGAAAGTTGTTAGAAGTTGTGGTACACTTAACAACTGGAAGATACCATTTTGGTTCCAACATATCACTCCTGCGACTGGTTCACCATTAAACCAACCAGACAATTAGTGAATTGAGTAAATGTAAAAATATTGCAGTAAGTAGCAAACCAAACCTGAGAATATAAATCACGGAGTTGTTCATTGGCTAGGGCAGCTTGCTTGGGGGTGATGCAACTCGTTGAGAGAAAATCCCCTAGATGCTTGTGAAGCAGGGAGAGAGCATAAATGTTGCAGAGGATCTGCAATTGTTCTTTAACTCCATCTCCATCCAAGTCTTGTTTCACCTTATCTATGAACCTGCGAGTGAGCGAGCGAGCGAGTAGGCAAGTCAAATTCAAGCGAGCGAGTAGGCAAGTCAAATTACTGATTTGATAATCACTTGATGGAGTTCATTTCCATTAACCATGAGCTATATCCTAGACATCAAAGCTCAGACTACTAATATGTTTGCTTTCCTATTCATGAATGGTTTATAACAATAATAATAATAAGCAGAACCAAGAGTGTATACTCGTCAAAGGCATCAAAATCAAAGTAAAAAATTTGTTAAAATTTTCCAATATCCCAATGGAACTTTATTGAAGTTTTCACTAACCACACTAACAAATTGTGATAAAAGTTTTTTTACTATACAAGGTAATCAATAAAAAACAATAGGTCAATATCTAGAAGAACTCAAGCCTTAAAAAGCTCAAATCTCTAAATCAAGACCCAATTCAATCAATGTGGGACTAATGGATCTTACGCAATAAGTAGGATGAGGTCAGGAAACAAAATGCAATGAATTCAAGATCAAACACTGTTTCTTGTGTACTTCTGCAAGGGTATGGAAGCGACTCCAAATGTCTTTGATCACATCTGCATGGAAAGGATGCTTATTTCTTTTCGAAAACACTTAAATAACCTTGTTTTTCATCAAATCTACTTCCAATATATCTTCTTGCATGTAATGTTCTTTTCTAAGTAATTGAATATATGAGGAGTTAGCCAATTGATGTTAAAACATATAATAAATTTGAGTGGCTATTTGCTATCTAATTGTCGTTGCGAATTGATCGCAATTTCACAATCTCTGCCCATTAAAATAGGTTTTCATGTTCACTGAACAAACCTACTGAACATCCAAGAGCAAAAAAGGAGTAATATCAGTTTTTTTAAGCTAAAAGTGTATGGACGAGACTAAGCATGATGGACGAAAAACTTACTTTGATACAATAATCAACTGGCAATGAGCCGCTGCTGCCTCCACTAGATCAGCAGAGAGATCTGCAAACCCTGCATAAAAAGATAATGGTGTGAGTATGAATTGTGAAAATAAAAATCATGCCAAGAATCAGTAACATGAAGGAGAGAATGAATCACAGGCATACAGGCACATGTATCCAGAATTTGAAAAGCATAGTTAATAGATACTTTGATAAGAGATATGCCACATGTATGCATGCAGCAAGCCAAAGTCTATGCATGTGCTTTATCTGTAAATTCATTTGCTTGCATGTGCATGTATGTGCAGGTGTGAGTGTGTGTGAGCATGTATTTGCGAGAGAGGGAGGACCTAGTTCTGGGCTTGATGCTTTGGCAATATTTTGGGCACAATTAACAGCTAGCCTCACAGCCCTGGCTTCAAATGCTTCCAGTATGACTGAAGGGTTCAACCAGTCCCCAGCTGCACAAAACGAAATGAATGTGTATAGAAAGGGTAAGCATCACACTACAAGAAAATCTCATGGTGTAAGTTGGGACAATGCTATCAATATTTTGGTTGCTACTTTGAAGTAATATTCTGTAAATAGGTCACAATGGGAAAAAGTACACCTTGACGAACATCAGATCGACATTGCATTAGGTGTTCTGCCCGCGCCATGTATGATGTGGTACCCACAGGCTTTTTCCCAGATCCCAGCCGTGAAACTGTCTTCACAAGAAACCTTGCAACCTTCAAACAATACAATAAAAAGTCATATTAGTCAATTGTTGGTTTGTACTAATTCTTAAAAAGAGTGCTTAGAGTTCATGGTGATAAAAGAAGTACACGTAAATAATGCATCAAGAACATTGACGCATTATATGTCTTTGAAATAAGCTGACAGATATTACAAGTTTTCAACTGTGGACAACATTAGGCCCAAGCTAAAATTTTGGAATGTTATGGTGACTCGCTAAATCACTGTGCATAAACAGTATTCCTTGTAGCACAGATTTGACATATCATTCATTCAAAATTAAATAAAATATTGGTTGGAAAAACATAAATTTAGAAAGAATGCACAAAAATAAAAAAAATATATATATATTAAATGTAGAAAGACCAAAATAAATCTGCAGAAGTTAAGCGTCTGTACAAATTCAAATGATTCATGAACTGTTAATAGATGGAAAGGTATTTAGGTTACTAAGTACCAGTTAATTCTAAGAACATATATAGAGACATAAGTTTATCACATGCTCATGATCATCTAAAATGTGGTCATGAATAACTATTTAGAAACCACACTTTAAGATGTCTTAGCCTTACAAACATCCATGATGCCCGATAAGTTGTGTCATAGCTATACCAACTACAAGTAGCCAAACTAAAATTTTCTACAGACAAAAGCGGCTTTTAGTTTACCTTAAAGCATATTCAACAAATACAGCTAATATCATGATGTCAAATGTAGAATATAGTCACTATTCCAGAAAGGCTCATAACCTCATTCATGGTGACACTGAGTTCAACCATTACTAATGGATCTAACAAACAAAAAATAGCTTACCGACCTGCAACAACAAAACAATGTTATCTCCTTCATAAGTGCAAGCAGGAACATAGACCGCAAATAATTCTGGAAGCCCGCTGCTACAAAGATAACCATGACCACCACAAAGTTTTCTGCATTCTTCGATGCCATCCTGTAATAGACAAGGTTCATTGAATAATAATACACAAAAAAGGTGTGGGTATAATGCCATCAATCTATGGACTTGAGATATGGTGAGCAGAGAACTACGGAAATCAGAAAATTGGCGCAAATTTTATCAAGAATGAAATATAGTTACTATTAACTATAGAATTCCTGAACTACCATACACCAACGATGCTTGTTAATATTAATTCTATAAATTCTTTGGAACTGATAACACACCAGCCACCTTCTTAGCGTACAACCATACCAATTGTTCTTGGGGTTTGAGACACAGAAGGTTGCACCCTATATGGTGTCAAAATTCATCTTTTTAACTTTACAACTAACAGGTAAAAGCTAGGAAGTTTTAAAAGATTTTGGGACAGAAAAGGTCTAATGCCATCAAACAATGCATTAAAATGTATTAAATGAGTTACGTACAGCTGTCGCGGAAGTTGTCAAAGATTTCAATCCAGCAGTGCATGCATGAGCCTCTGGTAAAGTTGAAAAGTCATTGGCTTGTAATCTTCCAGTCACATCTGCATATAACCATTTCAACCATTCTCCTACAAACCTAAAAGCATAAGCTGATGCCAGCAATGGAAAGAGTCTGCTTTGCTGAGTTTTGTAATCAATAACCTGCAGCATAATGTTTACTAAATAAAAGCAAAGCAAATAAAAAAGGTCCATGTATAATCAAATGCAAATAATTTGCACAAACGATAATATTTCAACCCACTTCCTTGAACCATCTTTCAACCGTTGTAGTATAGAAATCAGGATTCAGAGTGGAGTCGAAGAATTATTTATATAATGCATCTGTATTAAATGATAGGAATTAGAAGGATACTGCACGTATTATAAGCCATTCTTTGAACTTTTCTTTTAACTGCTGCAGTATAGAAATTGGACGCAGAATGGAACCAATACTAAAAGAATAATTATCTATATAATGCATCTTATTAAATGATAGGAATTATCAGGATGCTACATGCATTAGTTTCTACCACATACTAATTTCCTTGCATACATGAAATACTAGGATAAAAAGGATGGAGTAGATGGAAGAATGCAAAATTGTTCTATCTCATTCTATTGTATGCCAGTGTTCAGAGGAATCACATTATTATGGAAGGAAGAACATAAAAGATAGAAACAGATGAAAGCATGGTACTAGTATTTAGCAGGATGCTGCATGTATTAATCTGCTAAAAGAACGTTTCTAATGCATCTATTCAAAACGCTACGAATTAGCAGGATGCTACATTTATTAATTTTCACCACACGCTGTTTTTCTTTTGGATACATAAAATGCTAGGACTTGAAGGATGAAGAAGGTATCAGAATGCTGAATCTATCAATTTTCATCAAACACCATTGTTCAAGGAAGAAGAAACAAACAAACAAAAAAAGATAAATGAAAGAATAAAAGGAGTAAAAAGAGGAGAAGCTAACCCGCAGGTAATATAATGGTAATCCAGTAATAGGATCTACCTTATAATAAGGAACCAGATGCAAATTTAAATCTGATAATTTTAACTGTAAACTAATAACATATAGGTGCATAAAAAATGATATCTGCCTGAATTAGCTAATACAAGTAAAACTCTAAAATATAAGTTTCTTATGTACATTTGGCATTTGATCAACATTACTTCAACAAAAAAAAATTCCATCTCTAGGAATTGTATTTCTTGACATTGTTGTGGAGCAGAATTTTTCAGAACCACACTACCATTCCCATTACTACAGTGCACAGCTATTTATACTTGTGAACTATAAAAACAAAAATCAAGTACAGGTTTTCTATGTAGTCTGAGAATTCCATAGAACCATGCAAGACAAGAGAATCTTGATATGCAAACAGAAAAAACACCTACAAAAAATAAAAGGGTTATTTGTACATTTTGAGCCAAATTATGTTAAATTTACAACTAATAGCATCACCAGAAAGTAATTGACTGTATAAAGTTGTCAGTATCTAGTCATAGTTTCAAAAGGTGAATCATTATACCTGGGTCTCAGCACCTCCATCCTGCGAGCCAAATTGTCTACGAACAGCACTATACCTTACAGCAATACAAACAGCTCTAGATAATGCTTTGGAAGCATCGGCAACAATAGTTTGACGAACGAAAACCATTGTACCATAAACAAGTTGCCTTGGAACATCAGATTGCAAGTACTTTCCCTCCCTGGACACCTTTGAAAGCCTGTAAGATTTCAGAATATTGAACCAGTATGCCTTATTGGTGGTTAGTCATTTAAAGAATCAGAACCAAACTTATGGCTATTCTATATACCTTATAAGTACGTTTTTATCTACCTCAAAAGTTGTAGGCGTTAACAGTTATCAGTAAACTACTTCGCTAAGTTAACAGGTACTGATGTTATGGGGAATCACTTTGTACAATCAAACTATTCCTTTGAGACCCCCACCCTAACTCTAGGCCTCAAAGCACTAGTACGGTAGTACCAAAAATTCTAGGCTTCAGACCTCCACCATAAACTCCTTTGAGAGCTTGACATCACTCAAAGAATAAGAAAGGTTGCTAAAAATCTGATGATGTTTTCCAAACAGATCAACAATATAAGAAAGTTAAGTTAAAGCCTTATATTGTAGTACAAATCAAACTGAAAAATAAGCACATGGACAAAAGCTATCTGTTCTGAGAGATATATTTAGAGTATTTAGCAAAGATAAATTGTCGGGAACTGGAAACTTTCCAATAAAACTAAGATTGGGAAAGCTATTAAGCAATTAAGTAAGGAGGAATAATAACATGTAGTGATACAAGGAAAATAAAGGCTAACAAACCTCATCAACATTTGGTCTCTTGGTATGCGCACATTATCAAATCTTAGAACACCATTATCCATAGTGTTATATGCACCATTTCCAAATTTTGTTCCGATATCACCAATAGTAATGCCAGGCAGAGGTAAATGATCATCCAAACTTCGTAGCTGGACTATGAAACCTGATTGTCAAAACATGTCAGGAAATTGTCATTCACAAACAAATAACACCAGTCTCCACAATATTAAATTCAATAATTTGTTAATGAAATACCATGTACACCATAATCTTGCCCATCAGTGATAAGACGAGCATAAACAACTGCATGTGTGGAAACTTTGCCAAGGCCCCCGGGCCACCACTGTTATGACAATTTCGAAGTAATTAATACTATAAAAAAACACACAGGCAGAAGTAATAAACTTGCTATTTAACCACTGCAACCAATTAAATTTAAAAAACTAATGTAGCAAATGAAAATAGCACAAGAAAGTTCAATAAAGTATAACACAGGCAGAGAATGAATATCAACATCATCAATGATAATATTAAGAGATATTATATATTATCTTTAATACTCACTTTACTTGAAGTCAGAGTAGGGCTATGAATGACAAATTCATCAGTTTTCGGATCAAAAGTTGCAGTTGTTTCAAGTCCCTGGACATTGGAACCATGGCCAAGTTCCGTTTGTGCATAGCAGCCAATTATTTCCAATCTATAGGCTAATGTCAACCATTTCTTCTGCTGCTCATCAGTACCTTGTCCTTTTATAGCAGGAATAAACATTCCCTGTTAAAAATATTCATTCAACATACATCAGCTCCGGAAAGGAACTTGCGTAAAACAATATGCAAGTTATTACTGAAAGTTATATATAAACAAAATTGTCAGTATAGTTTCTCTTGTGCTGATGAAAACTTGACACTGAAGAGAGACATGCTGAGGTTTTAGTAAAATCAGAGTTTAAGTGAGACACCTCCAGCTTTAATAAATGGTAGTTGGATCTATAAAAATGTCCATATTTTGATGAGGCGTAATGTGGTACTTTTTTTGTCCTTCAAAACTCAGAAGTAAGCACTTGGCAATTGGTATTTCAGACGTAAATTAAAAAAGATAACATCATCAAAATTGAAAAAGATGACATCATCAACGAAAGTCTTTATCCTAAATTCTTTGTGGATAGGCCACATGAAATCAATTTTCAATATTCAAACCTATAGCAAACAACCTCATGCATTAAATTAGAAATCGTCAAATTTAAATTCTTTTCATACCTCATACTATGTTCTTTTAGGCCTATGCGCTTTCATCTATGACTTCGTCATAAACAGGAGAAGGATATTTAAAATACAAGAGAAGGAGAATCTAATTGTAGATTGACTCAAATATTAAATTTCTAATTCCTATACCCTTCAACTTATTTAGTCACCTTCCATAACTTACATCTTATACATGCATGCATCCTGCACAAAGGTATATATACAAATGCATACATACAAATACCATTACATCTTACTCCTAATATTTATAAAATTTTCCATGAAAACCCTTGTGATTTCAATTGACAAGCAACAAAATATTCTGTCATATGCATCGAAAACTCATGTCCAACAATACTGATAATAATTACATAATTGGAGTGCAGCCAAATGGCAGCCAATCAACACCAACTAATATTTTATCTCTTAATAAACATCAAGGATTTTTTTTATTTTTTATGTTTTATTTTTTTGTAATTTACTTTGCTTTTAAATACTTATTTATAATTTCCATTCCCAACAAACTTGAGCTCATGTAAACAACTATTTTCTTTATAAGATTCTACATATATGCATCTCTGACTCAAATTAACAATGTGTTGAAGTACTAACCCAATGCAAATCCAGAAAAGAAGGCTCATCGATGAAGAACCTTAACATTGACCCCTCTTCTTCTGTTAAAACAAAATTTTGCGAAGTTAAGAGTACAAAAATAGGATAATTAGAAGAAATTCTCTGCTAAAATAATTTCTGCCAACCAACCAAAAATAAAAATAATTCTCACCACCCATATGGTTTTCTTAGTATAAAATAGTGAATTTGACAAGTCCATGATTCTAGAAAGCTTGCATATATGCTGCTAAGTTTAGGCATAAATGTGCCCAAAATGTGTAAGTAGAGAAAAATACCAGAGAGACGCAGCTCATTGATCCGCTTCCAGGCATAAGCAGCTTTTCTCAAAGTATTCTTAAACAACTCCTTTCGACCGAGCATCGTCCTTGTATCCTTGCGAAACTCCTAGATGAAGTAAAGGTGGAGCACAATTTATCAATAACCTGCTTTGAACAATCAAGCAAAGGCTTGCAGATTCACATTGATATAAATCAATTTGATGAGTTTGTATGATACACAATACAGTAACTGGCTTCTATACATCCTAACGATATAAAGATCATCTATGATGAGTCCTTTAAAAGCACATTCCAACATAATGGACAAGACATACACTGTTAGGGACTCGTGTGAATATCAAATTTGCAGGCAACTAAAATCAAATTAAGATGAAAGGTACTAACCTATATGAAGGATCATTATATAAAATATGAGAAATCAGAAATCAAAGTACAATAGAAAAGCAAAATGTTTACATTTCCTGACATTCACTTCCTATTTATGCGCCCAATATACCCCGTAAATCCTCCATAACTCCAGCCTGTGTCTCATCATTCTGCTTACATTCTCAATACAGTTAAAAACGCAAAAGCTGTAAATTCAGACACACATTTCTTATTTTCAACCCTAACCTATCCCATAAATCCTCCAAGATTCCAACTTCGTCCTCATCATTCTCCTCGCATCCTTTGACCAGTCTACGAACCCCTCTTTGTAAATTCAACTTCTTAGTCTTCAACCAACAGCTATAACATTGTTAAACTTTACAGTTCCTTATCATCAGTACAGGAAAACTTCAAAAAGTGGACATAGACCAGTATTCTACTTGCTTAACTCCTTTATGAATAGCCTATTATATCAAAATTACATCTTGCGTCTAGCTCTACTCTAACATAGTGCTTCACAAAAAAAAAGGGTTCCAAAATAATCAGCATGCAACAATGTATTTCAAATAAAAAAATAGAATAGTTTAGCCAAAAACAAACAAAAAAATAACAAGCAGATAAATTATAGGAAATTGGAAGAAATAATCGATTGAAAATATCATAGTACCACGAAAGCAGCAAAGTGAAAAGATAACAAACTTCAGCAACAAACAAAAATTACTTCCTCTAACCAGCAAACATTCAAATCAGACAAAATTTCAGGGGGGGAAATGAGAATTTTACTACAAACAGTGAAAACAGCTCAAATCCATAGCCATCTCAACAAACATAACAGAACTGGGGAGAGAAATTACACCAATTACGAGGAAAAACAAACCCTAATCCCTCAAAAAGCGTAGAAATCTGGAAAACTCACAGGATCGCTGGCGACAAGGCGAGAAACTCGATCGGCGATCTCGAGATTGTGCTTCGATCCGGCCCAAACAACCTTCATCGCCTCCACATCAAACTGCGCCGCCTTTCTCTCGTCTCGCAAGTAATCGATCGCCTCCATTTTCTTCCCCCCAACTTTTTTCGTTCTCTCTCAGGATCTTCCGTAAAATTGAAGGCTTTCTGTTTGATAAATGGGTGAGCGGCCGCAAGCGTTCAGACGTCAGAGATGGATACAAAATTACGTCGACACCCCTAATCATTCAATATATTGGGCACAATAGGACAAATTTTGGAAACAAGTAAAGCGAAGAAATTTTCTAAATAAACCCGTTTATATTCTTTTTTCTAAAAATAGCCCCTTGAGTTTTATTTACAAAAATAGACTCATTTTATCTTAATCTGGTTCCTAAATAGTCGGGGTTGCTGACGCAGCGCGAAAGTAATAATTCCAGAATCACTAAGGGTGTTCTCTGAATCCACAAATAACTATCTTCGAATCCACAAATAACTATCTTCGAATCCACGAAGAACTTCGAATCCACGAAAAAAATATTGAAAAGAGAAATTTTATTGATGAAAAGTTATTATTCTTTGGGGTTAGATGACTCTTCTTAAATAGATAAACATATAAGACTCCTAGAAAGACTAGAATTATAAAGAAATAGAAAGTATTAAATTCTATCCTAAAAAGACTCCATATAATAGTGGAAACAAATCATGAATCAAAATTGAATTTGTTTCCTAATCTAATTGGACTCTAATATTGAATTTATTTCCTAATCTAAATAGACTCCAATTTTATTACTAGAAATAAACTAAAAGCTAATTATTTTTAGATTTCAGGCAAACTTGGATATTACTGATGAGATTTTAAAAATTTAACAATTTGGTTGGCTCCGTCTCGTCGAGATAGGCGATTTACATATATAATATGTCAGAATTCGCCTTTTAGATTGAAAAATATGATTGTTTCTACGCGGAAGTCAATAATATGTGTAGCTCGTGATTCTCCGAATCCTCCATGAAATTATTCGTTAAGCGTCCTACATCAGTTGCCAACCCCGACTATTTAGGAGGTTTTAAACCCCCAATTATAACTCTAAACCCTAATATTCTATACACTAAATAGTCAGGGTTGACAACCCCGACTATTTAGGAACTGGATTAAGATAAAATGAGTGTATTTTTATAAATAAAACTCAAGAGGGTTTATTTTTAGAAAAAAAATATGAATGGTTATATTCAGAAATTTCCGTCAAGTAAAGCTTTGAGTTGGGGGAACACTTTACGAATATTAAATAATTTAAGCTAACAACGTGCACAGAAAATCTTTTCCTTTTCTATTTTTAGGAATGCATGTGAAAAACATGTTACTTCTTCTTTGGACGTAAGATGGATAGTTTAAGGTTGGGATATTTTAGATGCCGAGGAAAACAATTCATTGCGCTCTTATGGTATGAATCTCAATTCGTCTTTTGTATATATCAAAATATTTACATAAAATTTTTAAATTGCCGTAAGAATATCTGATGTTAGATCTTATAAAAAACTTGAGATCTAAACCATAAAGCCATGATTAATTCAAAGAGATTTACAAGAATCAAAAGAAAAGAGCGGAAGCTTATACCTGAATCCATAAATTAAAATTGAGATGGGTTTTGGATCTTCTAACCTCAGGGTTTTTCTAGCCAAATTTCTCTCAAGATGTGGGTGAAGAGAATTAGAGAATGTAACCCTAGATTAGGGACCATAACCCCTTATTTATACATGTTGTACATTTGCAATTTGACCCCTCATCAAATCACAATTACAACCTGGTATCTGCACATATAACCTCATGACTTATTTAAATACACATTAACCCAAATTAATTGATCACTTTAGTGGGTTATCCTGAAGGATAGCAATACACATTGATTAATCATATGTGCCCACAAATAGATTTATTAGATTAAATCCAACAATCTCCCACTTGGGCACCATATGATTCCTTAAATTGTGTATAACCTTATGAGCTCAAAAATTGCTATCACTAAAAAGGTATTTCCGTACAATCTCGTCCATTGACTATATCAATATAGAATCAAAACGGCTTTCGTCACATTTATCGTGACTCGACCCATCAATGGTCACATATACCAATACAATCAAACGACATAGATCAATCATGGATGTGCAGCATGAAAATTACATGCAATGTGATCAGTACATGTCTATTTTTAACTGGTCCTACTTTAGTGAGGTCAAAACCAAACATAATGTAACATAGTGTCTTAACTGAATACTTTATTCTTATCAGACAATACAACCAAACATAAAGCACCACAATTACAAACTCCCACTAAATCATGATATCCTCAAATAATACCACACACATATGAGCAGTATGCTCATGAAAGACCCTGGGTGGCAATCCCTTAGTAAGAGGATCAGCTATTATGGAGTTTGTCCCAATGTGCTCTATAGATATCTGTCCACTCTGTACCCTTTCTTTCACAACCAGGAACTTTAATGTCAATATGTTTTGACTTAGTTGAGCTCATGTTGTTATTGGAATACATTACTGTAGATTTATTGTCACAATATAACCTTAGTGGTCTTTCCATATTTTCCAAAATGCGCAGTCCCGTGACAAAATTTTGCAGCCATATTCCCCTGCTATCCAATGATCCATACCAGGGTTGCTTAAGTATCTGCCTAACATCCCAACAATGTACGCAATATCCGGACGCGTACATACCTGAGCATACATTAGACTTCCTACAGCCGAAGCATAAGGAATCTTCTGCATTTCCTGAATTTCAAGGTTACCTTTAGGGCACTGATTGAGACTAAACTTGTCTCCTTTAGCAACAGGGGTGTCACCTGGTCTGCAATCTTGCATGCCAAACCTTTTAAGTACCTTATCGATATAGCTCTTTTGTGATAATCCAAGAATACCCCGAGAGCGATCTCGATGTATCTGGATCCCTAATATAAAAGAGGCGTCCCCAAGATCTTTCATCTCAAAATTCTTTGATAGAAATCTCTTGGTTTCGTGCAACATGCCTATATCATTAGTGGCAAGCAAGATGTCATCGACATACAGAACCAGAAAAATATACTTACTCCCACTGAACTTGTGATATACACAGTCATCAACAATGTTCATCTCAAAACCGAACGAGATAACTATTTGTTGAAACTTATGATACCATTGACGAGGAGCTTGCTTGAGTCCATAGATGGATTTCCTTAATTTGCAAACCATATTCTTTGGGTCTCCTGACACAAAGTTTTCTGGTTGCACCATATAAATCATCTCATCAATGTCTCCATTGAGAAATGCAGTCTTAACATCCATCTGATGTAACTCAAGATCATAATGAGCAACAAGTGCCATGATTATTCTGAAAGAGTCTTTCGATGAAACCGGAGAGAAAGTCTCTGTATAATCAATGCCTTCCTTTTGAGTATAGCCTTTAGCCACAAGACGTGCCTTATACCTCTCCACATTACCATTTGCATCCCGCTTGGTTTTAAAAATCCATTTACAACCAATTGGTTTTGCACCTTCTGGCAATGAGACAAGTTCCCAAACCTTATTGTCTTGCATAGACTTGTACTCTTCATTCATGGCATCAATCCATTGCTGAGAGTTAGAACTTTTCATGGCTTGAGAGAAGTTGATTGGACCATCTTCCAACATTCCACTACTTTCCTCATGTTCTTGAAGAAATACAATATAATCATCTGAAATAGCATTTCTCCTTTCTCTCGTGGATCCCCTTAATGGCACTGGTTCTTGAGGTTGTTGAGTTTGTTCTTCTGGAACAGGGAGTTGTTCAACATTATCATCTTGAGATTTCTAATTTACTTCTTGAGCAACAACAGGTATAGAAACCTGAATATTGTCAAAAGTAACTGTATGGATTGGATCTGAAGCCAATTCCTCCTCAAAACTAATGTCTCTAACCTTATTTCTCCCCCAAACTCAACATCCTCAAAGAATGTTGTTGTTTCCGTCTTAAAAATATTCTTTAGTATGGGATCATAAAACTTATAGCCCCTAGAGCGTTCAGAGTACCCAATAAAGTAGCTGCTAACTGCTAGAGCGTTCAGAGTACCCAATAAAGTAGCTGCTAACTGTTTTGGAGTCCAATTTCTTTTCATTTGGCTTGTAAGGCCTTGCCTCAGCTGGACATCCCCAAATATGTAAATGCTTTAAACTGGGCTTTCGACCAGTCCAAAGCTCATAAGGTGTTTTAGCAACTGCTTTACTTGGTACTCTATTCAGAATGTAAGCTGCTGTCTTTAGTGCTTCTCTCCAGAGAGACTCTGGTAAAGAAGAATGAGCAATCATACTTCTTACCATATCCTTAAGAGTCATGTTTCGTCTTTCAGCTACACCATTCATGCTAGATGAACCCGGCATGGTGTACTGTGAGACGATACTGCATTCCTCTAGGTATCTAGCAAATGGTCCTGGACGTTGTTCACCTGAACCATCATATCTACCGTAGTACTCACCACCACGATCAGATCTAACGGTTTTAATTCTTCTGTTGAGTTGATTCTCAACTTCAGCTTTATAGGCTTTGAACATGTCCAGAGACTCAGATTTTTCATGAATAAGATATAGGTGCCCATAACGTGAGTAATCGTCTATGAATGATATAAAATATTGTTGACCATTCCAGGATTCCGTAGGGAATGGCCCACAAATATCCGTATGTATCAATTCTAAGACATCCGAAGATCTGTTGGCACCTAATCTTTTCACTTTGGTCTGTTTTCCCTTGATACATTCAACACATACGTCGAAGTCCGAAAAATCAAGGGAATCCAAAATGCCATCAGACACAAGACGCTCAACTCTACCTTTTGAGATATGACCCAAGCGCTTATGCCATAATGTCGCCGAATTTTCCTTATTTAATTTACGCTTAGTACCACGTGATTCCACATGCAAGGATTCATTGTAAGAAGCAATTGTATCAAGCAAATATAGGTTGTCATAAATACTCAAGTAACCGGTTCCCACAACATTTGAATTAAAAGATAAACTGAATTGACTGTTTCCAAATGAACAAGAATAACCTGATTTGTCCAATACAGAAACAGAAATTAAATTCCGTCTAAAAGACGGTACTACAAAAATATCTTTCAAATCCAAATAAGAACCAGTTCCTAACAACAACCTAAAGTGCCCAATTGCTTCCACATCTA